CATTGACTTGTAGTCCGATTTGTTCTGCTTCTTTTAATAGAGTCCGAGCGAGTCTCTCAATATCCTCTTGATTACTTCCGAGGACAGCTATATCATCCGCATATGCTAGGATTTTATGTTTCATTCCAACGTGCACCCCTCCATCTTCGCATGATGTTGTTCTTATTACTTTCTCTAGAGCTAAGTTGAACAGCATCGGCGAGAGTCCATCTCCCTGCCTCAAGCCCGTTCGAACTCCAAAGGCTTCAGATACTTTTCCTTGTATTAGTACCCTAAATTTAGGATCATTTTTATATGCCTTTGTCAACCTCACTAACTTCCCGTGAACACCCACCTCAGTCATGATCTTCCAGAGACAGTTTTTGTCCACAAAGTCATAGGCAGCTTTGAAGTCGACAAATAATGCATGTACGTCCCGATCTACTTCCCATCGTTTTTCGAGTACTTATTTTAGGATGAATAGTTGAACAGCATCGGCAAGAGTCCATCTCCCTGCCTCAAGCCCGTTCGAATTCCTCGAATCTAGCGTACTCCTTCCTCTTCTAAATCCTGTTTGATGGTCGCCTATTATTTTTTCATAATACGGATGTATCAGATTTAGTAGAATATTAGTCATTATTTTATAGGAAACTGGAAGAAGTGCTATGCCTCTGTAATTTCCCCATTCGTACATGGAGCCCTTCTTAAGGATAGGACAGGTCAACCCTGTGTTCCACGCTTCTGGTATCCGTTCCTTCTCCCATATCTTCTGGATTAGATCCCAACAGCTTGGCTCTGAGGTCTTCTCCCCCATCCTTGAACAATTCTGATAGTAGGTTGTCTATCCCTGGAGCCTTTCTTCTTTTAAGCCTGCTGATAGCTATTTCCATATCCAGAATATCTGGTTTTTCAACCCATCAAAAGGGTCGATGTCCTCAGTGTGGCCCATTTCTTCTTCATTTGTGGATCCTTGATTAAGTTTTAAGCCTTTATCGGGATGATCTGCTCGAAAAATTTCAGAGGAATGTAAAAAAAATTACATAAAGTTCTTAATTTAAATTAAAGATTTTGGTGTGAATTTGAAGTGTCAATAACTGCCTGATTTGCCCTATAAAATGTCTATTTTATTGTTTTCAATTAAAGTCCATTAACTTATTTATGAGTGTGCCAATTAACAGTTTAATATAGATATGATTTACTGAAGTAAATATTATATAAGTAGCAGGTATGAGTACTCAAGTTGAATAATATAAAAGTCAATCAAGTTTTATATTTTATCTTATTGATTCAGATGGACTAAGGATAAAATAATAACACAATAAAAATTAAATATAAAAAACAAGATAAAACAATAAACTTTTTTTTCACATGCGAAACAAACCCCATTAGAAATAATAATTAAATAATAAATATTACTATTAAATAAATTTATATTTTTTAATACCAAAAGGAATTTTTAAAAGCAATATATATTAAATATAGAAAATAAAAGGGGTGAAAAAAACTTAATAGATGTTATACAATTTTAATGAACACAGAAATAAATATTGAAAATTCAAAATTATAGTGGAAACTCGCAAAAGCCTATATGCACTAATTATACATACCCAATATGAAGGCATCAAAGAGAATAATTGTTAAAAATAGTAAAACACATAAAGCACAATAAAACATCAGATTACAGTTATGTATATCAATGAGATACAAAAGTGAATTCTATTTTTCAGCCTTGAAAAACTGCAATTGCTGTGATACACATTAATAGGTGTAGTACTTTTAAAAATTAAATCCAAATTTACTATAGTTTAATTCAATACACATCACACTACTTCTGGATTAAGGGATCTAGATCCATTGGAAGTAAGGGGATAGAGATTAATCAATTACAATTTATTTATTTTAAATAGTTGTGCCAATAAACAGCCTTTTGTATTAATATGAACTACAAGTACATCATTTCAAATTAATTCAAAAACAAAAAATATCTTTTTCAAAAATTAGCAGATGAGTGCCCTGATACAATTAAAAATTCATAAACAGCTGTATACAAAATCAGTTCAGCAAAATAAAACCTAACTTAATGTTATCAAGAAAGCTTCCAAAAATGATAGACTTAAATTACACCAATGATTGTTGTAAGCAATAAGAATATATTGAAATTACTTAAATGCTCAAGACTTTAAAGTTAATTATCAATTTTAAAACTGAAATAAATTAGAAATTATTTTAATTAAAAACTAAAATATAGAGAAAGAACAAGCCAAGTAAAAAAAGAATTACAAAGTTAATTAATCGGAAATAATACATGAGGTTGTTCAGCAAATTAATGGATAAACATCTAATAACAGGGAATGGGAATGCAGTTAAAATAAGGCTGAAAAAAGTATTTGATATTTAAGTTCATTAAAAATGTTTATATGCAATCAATGCACTCAGTTTTAACAAATAGGAAATTGGACAAATATTACAATATCATAAAATATTTATAAGAAATATAAAATAAATGGATATCTAAAATTCTTGTATTGCTATAAAACTTTCAGAACAGCTCTCAACATAACATTAAATAAATAAAATTTTGTAATTAGAAATATCTTTTTAACCTACTTAAACTAGAAATGTACCATTATTAAAACATAATCAGCAATAGTATAAATTCAATTTAAACTTTGTGTGCAGAAACAATTATCGATAAATAATATTTCCTTAAATTTGAGCCAATTATGTGTCATATATATATATCAAAATTTCTGTACAAATGATATGTTTTTTATCTATTAATTGAGCTGCATATTTTAGGTTTCCTGCATATAAAGCTTATGTTGGAATAAAATATCACAGGCAGCCCTTCAATGAACAGAAATAAAAATAATTCTAGTTAACTGAAAGGCATATTTTAAAGATCATTATACTAATGATTTTCAGATTCAAAAGTTTAAAACATGTATTTATAGTGAAATATTTAAACAATTAAAAAAAATATTAAAAAAAGAATTGAGAAACTAAAATTTATTTTTCTTATAAATCATTTTAAACTGTAATATTAAACAGTTTTGTAGTTTAGATGCTAACAGGATTAATGTCTTTTTGGAGGGAATAGAAGAACATAATTAGAAGGATATTCGAAAAACGTCTTTATAATTGTTCAACAAAAAAACTGGCTGCAATAACTAAGTGCAATATGGGGCATCGCTCAGCACAGTCCTGTTTTAAGTGGATGTGTGCTAAACAAACAAAGTAGACTCTTGATTTTTTTTTTTTTCATAAAATAAAATTTAATCTTTTCACTCTGGCTAGAATAGGTTGGTCATCTACCTATTTTATCTACTATTTCTGTCAAACTGAAATATATAAGGGTGTTAAAACAAATAAACACCAATGTTATTTGTAAATTGAAGACTAAAAAAGTACTACCAAGTCACTAAGAAGATTGAGGAAAATATTTAAAAAGGAATTAAATTATTGAAAAACAAAAGTTCGCATATTATTGTTAATAAATTTATAAAATAAAACAAGGCCTTTTTTTGTTTTGTTTTTTTAATTTTATAAAACAACAATCAACATCTATATTCTAAATCAATTTTATAAAATTACAAAAAAGGTTATGTAAACATCAATTTTTTATTATACATGTACAACTAATAAATTATTCAAATTTATATCATGTAAATTATTTTGAAAGTTTCATACTAAAGTAAAAATATGAAAATGTATATATCTCTGCATTGTGGTAAAATTGATTTTGGAGAATAATAATTACATAAATATTGTTTTTTTTAATATATAAATATATAAATTATTGATAGTTTATAATTTTAATCGAAATAAGTATTCAACTTTATGACTATTTATGTCGGTTAAAGTAAATGAATTTAGCACGTAGCAAATTCTAATACAAACAATCAATTTTATTTTATACTCAGAATAAATGTTTTGAGCTCACCACAAATTAAAAAATAAATGTTTCTAAAAATATGTTTAAATTAATTAAAAATTCAAAAACAATGAAAAATAAGTCTTTAGGGAAAGTTTTAAATGATTTTAATTATGGATCATACAATATATTGATAGTTTACCATATGGGAAACCCAGAAGCATATTCTCTGGAGTGACAGCCAAGAATAACATATAAAATAGTGGGAACTAATTATTAAAGCAAATATTCCAGCAGACATTGTAGGTCTTAATCTGGATTAAATAGCCAGAGGTGGAGACAAGATTTAATAATTAATTTACACTATTTTATGTTATCTTGACCGATACCTACTCTATTTCTTTCTTTATTTTATTTATAATTTATAAATATCAATTATGTCCTTTATCACATTTTGGTTAAGCAAGGTTACCAGACTGCCTGTGAGTACAAGTGCATAGCCTTCCTTTCCTAGGCCACAATGAAATTAGAAATACTACTTAGCACAAGTCGCCAATGTAAGACACATATAGTTACAGTCCATAGAGATCAATATTTCTGTTTTATTAATAAAAAATCAGTCTTTTACAGCCCATTTTAAAAATGAATAGAACTATCACTCCAAATAATTTTATTTATAAAGAGTAAAATAAACAGTTTAAATTATAATGACATATGATTCAAAATTATTAATATTTAACTAAGTTTTATTTACCTTAATTCTATTTTGCCTTAAACAACAGCATAATAAAGAAAACAACTTAATAAAAGTTAATGACAGAAAATATACATTACATAGATATTTAAATGACAATAATGAAATTATGATTTATAAATAAGGCACGCGATTTTAAGTGAATATGGGCTGCTCATTTTTTAATAACAAATAAATACTGTGACTTGTTACCAGCATTATAACCAATTTAAATGTAATCAAATGAGTTAAAATTTCACGAATTTTCTTAACAAGTAACTTAGATCATTATTAGTAAATTCTAGTGTCTTGAAAAAGATATAACAGATTGAATAATGTTCAATTATATGATAAAACTAAAAAATAAAAATAAATAAATAACTATTACAATGCATAAATGTAAATTAAAATAAATAACTCATTTTCTGATTCAATCAGCAAAAGGAATCATAAAAAATAAGATTATTACATAAAAATATATAATTGATTTACAAGAGAAGTAAGAAAATTTGATGCACTGCCAGAATGAAAGCTTAAAAAAATAAATAATAAAAAAAATATTAAATTTGGGTAGAAAATTGAACGGATAAATCTATATATATATCAATCATCCAGATTTACTATTTTATAAAAGAGAAATGTACAAAAGTATTTTATGTGGGGGAGAGAAAGAGATAGAATAGCCATACCACAATACATACATATACAGAACAGAGAAATTAAACCATTTTGGTAACAATTAAATTTATCTACTTCAAAAGTAAATATGATAAGGCATAAACAACCTTACATAAGTAAATTGGGATTCCTGAGAAAATAAATCATCTTAATAAAGAGTTAATTTTAATATTTGGATGTTTTCTTGAGAATATAGACAATGTGAGCTGCCAGTTCTATGATTATGAAGACTAGCAAAGTTTTAAAAACATGTAATTTCCTGAAACAAAGCATATAAAAATAAAGTTGTATTAATTCATAGGTAACGGCAAAACAAAGATTCTATAATTATATATATATATATATATATATATATATATATATATATATATATATATATAATATATATATATATATATATATATATATATATATATATATATGCTGGCTTCACCATAATAGATAAAATTATAATACAAATAACAAGAGATGCAATATCACAATAGAGCTGATAATTGTGCGAATAGGGAATAACTATGGTGGGAATAGTATTAGGAAGAGCAAATTTTTGCTTTTATCTCTACAGCTGATCAGTTTTGATATCAGTCACTTGTTTCATTTTCTCTATTAAATTTTTGTTTTCTGTAACTGGAATGATATAAATTAAAATCATATTTGTGTAAGAAACCTAAGAGTTATCTATTGAGTCTTTTTAAGTTCCATGATTTGTTTTTTTAAAAATTGTTTTCTATAATAAGGTAAGTTAATTTTTACCATTTTAAAGTAATTTTGGCCATGGGTTACTTAAGTCTGTATGTAGCGGTGTTCTTTACAGAAACTTTAATTTTCTATTTGAAGATTATTGTATTTATTCATCACTTCTTTAGTGTAAATCATAGTCGAGTCTAGTCATCTCAATATTGAACTCATTTTGTCTAACAGCTTTTTGTTCCTCAGGTATATCAGAGATTCTTTTCTTCCAGAAAGATAACTAAAAAAGTTAAGTCAGTTATGTATGGTTAAGTTAATTAACGATACATCACCTTCTGCCTTGTCTTCTTTACAATATCATGTTTGTAAAGATTGACATTAAAAGTGACAGCTTGTTTTCATTCTTTCACAAAAACATTCAATAAAAATCTTACATAATTTAGTTTATATTTTTAAGTTATGAAAGAATAATATATTTTATTTAACCTCATTCTAACCTAGCCTCTCTCCCAATGAACATATCATTTTCAAAATAGAACTGCAATTATCTTCTCCCCCCCCCCACAAATTAGATAATCAGTTATCCAACATTTTAGAATTAGGAACTCAACCACCAATTATGGTTTCAGTGACAGTGTCAAAGCTAATTTGGTTATCGATTATTTTTAAAATGTCCATACAAAGAAGGTAAACCTTTGGTATACCATCGTTTACCAGTTATGTTCCAGGTACTTACTACAGGTTATGTTATAGGTACTTACTAGTTATGTTTCAGGTAAACTAAAAGTTATAGTCCCTGTAAGCAAGAAATTGGATAATTGTAAATATTCATCCTGAAGAATTAAAAAATAACATAATTAAATTAGACAACACAAAATCCTCGGATATTGATGGGATATGTAATATTTTTAATAAACAATTATCAGTCCAATCAAAAATTATTTGCACATTTTTTTTTCTGTTGGCATTGCATACCATGTAGATCTTTTGCCGCCTTAACAAGCCTGATCCATCTTTGCCTGTCTTGGGCTATTTCTTTCCATTTATCTGCACGCAGCTCTATTGCATCTATCTCTATTGCATCTGTTGATTCTATCTATCTATCTATCTGCTTTCTGGCCTTCCACCTTGTCTTTTGCTTTCTATTGAGGCATTCATTGTTATGTAAAGGCTTTCAGATGGATTGCTATGAGCTACATACCCTGCCCATCTTAACCTCCGTGCAATCATATCATGGGATATTGATGACCAGTTTCTGTAAGTAGTTGTTAATTGGAAACAAGAAAACAATTATGCGTTAAAAAAAGAAATTAAAAACATGTAATCAAAATTAATTCAGCAGCAGCATATTTTCATATAGATATTAAAAACAATTTTTATAAATTAGAATTTGTATGAAATATATTGGTAAGAAAGCTTAGTCAGTGGGCCAGACCCTCCTATTGTGCACCCCCCTCTCCCTCACATCCCTATAAATTGCATATTGTTGTGTTCCTTGTAACTATTTATTGAAAAAAAGCCAATGTTCCCACAAAAAAAGTGAACGTACTGCCCCAAAATGGCGTCCAAACATGGCAGACTGAAGACTTTGACTTTAGTTAATTTTTTGGTCACTGAGAATCAGCATTAGGCTTAATTTCGTCATAGTTGATCTTTTATTAAAGCTGGATAGTCATAGAATAATATAACATGAAAAAATGTTAAAAAATAATTGGCTTAGGCAATAAAAAATACCAGTAAAGTAAATTTTTTAACACAAAAATTAGTTAAAGTTAAAAATCACTGATTACTTTTTAAAATATTTGAAGCAGATCCATAGAAAATGCACTTAAGCGGCAGAAAAGGGGTCCTGGCGTGGGTGACTACAGGTCAACCACACCATTCAGTGCTCATAAATGGCTTAGTTATAGTGTTATAATAACGTTTTTGTTACATTATATTGATTTTATTGACGAAGAAATATTAATGCAATAATTTAATTAACAAAATTTTTTTTAAAATTTATTATTTTTTTTTAAATTTAATTTCCAATATATTCTATAGGAAAGTCATTTTAGAAGATCTCTATTGTAAAAATGATTTAATTACAATAATAAAACGTAATTTTTTTTTTAAAAACACTTTATTCAGAAATATTACAATTTGTCACAGTTAAGGACACTTATAATAGAGTTCAGAGATTGCATTCATACCGTATATACAAAAATATAAATAAATAAAGTAATAACAAAAGAATAAGAAGAAAGAACAAAAGAGTAAAGAAAAAAAAATATATATATACACATAAGTAAATAAAAATAGAAATAAAAGTAAAACAAACACCTTATATAAAACATACATTATTTACAATTTGCCAGGTGATCTCCGAACCAATCCTTTCCCCTCCACATGTGGAGGGAAAAGGGAGGCTTAGGAGATCCCTACGCTTCTCCCTCAGCCACTTCACTGGTATTTTAAACCAGCGGAGGATGAGTAAGAGCGCTACAGCCACAGACACTCATGACTTGAGTGGAGAATCTGGCCATTGCTAGAACTCCAAAATATCCATATTTACAAAAGGTCTCGTGGCCACTGCCGCTTTAACCTACGAAGGGGATTGTAGGGATGGGTGGTGCTTGATAGGGATTGTACAACGGGATTTGGGTGATGAGAAAGGTTCTGGTGAAATTTGGAAAATTTGGCTGGGATAAGATCAAGAATAAATGGGATATTAAGGTCATGATGTAGGGTTTTATTGGTTACATAGAAGGGAGCATTGACTATTGTACGGAGGACTTTAGACTGAAAGGATTGAATGCGTTTGATGTTAGAAAATTTGGCTGTTCCCCATAGTTCTAGTCCGTAAGTCCAGATGGGTTTCAGTATTGTCTTGTAGATCAGTAATTTGTTTTCACCAGAAAGTTTAGATTTTCTATTCAGTAGTCTATATAGCTGGCCATATCGTCTGTTAAGTTCCTGTCTTTTAAGTCGAGTATGTGGATTCCATGTTAGTCGTCTGTCTAAGAGAAAGCCAAGATACCGGACTGTATCTGAGAAAGGAAGCTGGATGGAGTTAAAATAAACTGGTGGGCAGGTATTACGCCGAAGGGTGAAGGTAATGTGTTTACATTTAGATTCGTTTACCTTAATGCGCCATTTCTTACACCAGTGTTCAATCAGGAAGAGGTGCCTTTGTAAGTTTGCGGACGCTGTTTCAGGATCTGAGTTGGAAGAAAGGATAGCAGTGTCATCAGCGAAAGTTGCCAGGAGGGTATCGGGATGGACAGGAATATCAGCGGTAAAGAGAATGTAAAGGATGGGGCCCAAGACGCTGCCTTGAGGAACGCCAGCCTCAATTGAGTAACAGTCGGAGAATTCGGTGCCACAGCGAACTCGGAAGGAGCGGTCGGAAAGATAGGATCGGAGTACTAGGTATAAGGACTGTGGTAGATGGATTTTAAGCTTGAAGAGTAATCCGGCGTGCCATACCCGGTCAAAAGCTTGCGCTATGTCCAGAAATGCACCCGAGCAATACTGCTTGCTTTCTAGGGTTGAGGATATATGGTCAACAACTCGGAGTCCTTGCTGGACAGTGGAATGTTGGGAACGAAATCCGAATTGATGAGTAGGAAGGTTATAGGATTCAATTATAGGTAGGATTCGTTTCAGTAGGATCTTTTCAAAAATTTTTGAGAGGATTGGGAGTAGGCTAATTGGTCTATAGGATGCTGTATTGTTGGAAGGTTTGCCTGGTTTCAAGAAGAGGACGATGGTGGAATGTTTCCATAAAAGAGGGAAGTGGGTAGTTCGTAGGATGCAATTGTATATATATGTAAGAAATATGATGGCTTTAGATGGAAGTTGTCGAAGGATCTGTGGGGTTAGAAGGTCATATCCAGGAGATTTGCGAGGTGTGATTTTCCGTAAAAGGTATTTGACCTCAGAGGGATTAACAGCTTTAGGTGGTAAGGAGAGTGGGATAGGTATTGAGAGGGATTCTTCTACTTTTACTGTGTGGCTGGGATGGGATTCTGGATGAGGAGCGAAAGTATAGGAAAGGTGTTTGGCAAATTCCTCGGCTTTATCTTCATCAGATGCTGCCCAGGAGCCATCATCTCGTCGAAGAGGGTGGGAAATATGATGGGATTTGAGGATTTTTCTGGTGATATTCCAAAGGGAATTATCATGAGCAGAGAGTGTGGTGAGGTAGGAATTGAATGATTGGGATCTGAAGGTGGCTAATTCTTTTTTTAATTTTTTACAGTGATAATTGTAGGAGTGGCGGTCGGCTGGATGTCTGGTACGTTGCCATAATAATCTGGCACGGCGTTTTATGTGGATTAGGTCAAGGAGGTGTTGAGGTAAATTATGTTTCTTAAGGATTTTTGAGGAGTGATCAGGGGAGGAAGCAGTCCAGACTGCTTCTTGAATTTTGGTAGTGAAGGAATGTACTGCATTGTCCAGGTCTTCAGAGGTTTTCAGGGTTACTCTGAGGTCAATTTTATCGGAGAGGATTTGATGAAAGAGTTTCCAGTTAACTGGGCCTCTGATGAAGGACGGAGGAGAGGGTTTAGGAATAGGAGCTAGTGATACTTGGAGTATTAATGGGCTGTGGTCTGAGGAAAGCTCGTCAAGACGGGCAACGGAATGGTTGAGAGCACCTAAACCATTATGGATAAAGAAATCGAGGATATCGGGATTACGGTTAGGATCAGTGGGCCAGTAGGTAGGTGAGTTGGGTGGAAGAAGGGTAAAATTTTGGGAATTGAGTACAGACAGCAATGTTCGACCACGAGAATTCGTGGTTCTTGAACCCCATTGTTGATGCTTGGCGTTTAAGTCTGCACCCAAGATGAAATGATGTCCTAAGGAAATGAGGAAGGAACTAAATTGGATATTGGAGATGGATTGGTTTGGAGGGCAATACGCTGATGCAACGGTAATAGGAAAGGAGAAGGTTCGGTAGGCTTCAGGTGTGGCCGGTATTATTTTTGTATCATTTATTCTGTTTAGGCATGTATAGCTACCTGGGCAGATTTTATTAAGTTGAGTACACAACAACTGAAAATTTCTCAAATTTTTGACAAAGATAGGAGGTGGGCGTGGTTCTCGAGGTATAGGTGCATCTTCCATTTCTTCCCTGCACCTGGTATGGATTAGGTGTAAAAAATGGAGATTCCATTTCTTGTGAAGACGTACTTGGCAGTGGTTGAGACACAGATACTTGAGTGTTCGCTGGAGGAGTTCCGGGGGGTGTTAATCGCTTACTACGACGTGTTTTCTGTTTAGGCGGTGAATTACGTGGAGTAGAGCCAACTGAATGGGACCTCTTAGTTGACATTACTTGGTGGTAATATCGCATATAAAAAAAAAAAAAAGAAAGGGAAAAAAAAAATAAATAAATAAAACTACGTCTGCGTGTTATTACAATGGATGAACACCGGCTGAGAACCAGCCAGTTACGTGGCAGGGCCACAACTGGAGAGGGGAGCCGTCAGCTGTTATGGCTATAGAGATTAAGCCTATAGACGCTAAATCACTAAATTCACTGTCTGTAATAGTACACAGTAAATAACAACACTACTCACTGTGGTGTTAGTCCATTGTTATTGTTTTGATGTCTGCTTAACTATTTTTTTTTAAAAAAAAGTAAAACTGAGCACTTATTCTACTAAAAAATAGTAAAACTGTGGGACACGACGTGAAATGTGGGTTAAAACGTAATTAAAAAAAAAATACTTTGCTGAATATCATTATTTTTTTTTTTATTTAACATTTGCAATTTAACACTTTGATTTGTATAGATACTGATTCTTAGAGATAATTTAAATTGTATATACATTCCCGGAAATGAGTCATATTAATACCAGTTTTATAAACTAAACTAAAATATATCTAATCTGAACTACATATAATGAATAGTTGATGGATTGTTTAGTAAAACTCATATATCACTAATATAAAAAAATAGGGAATTTTAATATTGAATGCATTATTCTCTCTGCACAAAGAAAGATGGAAAGAGCGAAGCTATAAGTTCTTCTAGGTAACCGAAACTGATTGTTAGTATTTGGTCTCAAAATGAGACAATTCGCGGAAATGGGACCCAAAAATTGGAAAAATACATTAAGCAAACGAGAAAGGAAGTGCCCAAATCTGGGAAAATAAAACAAGGATCAGTATCCATTATATGGCTGAACAAATATATATTAGACAGATGAACAGAACATTTCAAGATGCTGCAAAAAGGGGGTCAAATTTTGGACTTACCAATAGTTTCAAACAAATCTTTCTTGCTAATAAAATGGTCTTCACCATAAAAAACCTGCATCCTCCCCTTAATATCTTCCAAACTGCTGTCAAATTTGACCCCCTTTTAGCAGCATGTTGAAATATTCTGTTTATCTGTCTACTATATATTTGTTTAGCCATTTAATGGATACCAATCCTTGTTTTCTTTTCCGAGATTTTTGCATTTCCTTTCTTGTTTGCTTAATACATTAAGCGAAAAATATATTTATATATAAACATATATACATATACATATATAAAATATATATGTAGCAAAAAATACATTTTTCTAATTTTTGGGTTCAATTTCGCGTTTGCCCTCATTTTGAGACCAAATCAGTTCCTATAATACTAACACCAGTTCCGGTTACCTAAAAGAACTTAGAGCTTTGCCCTTTTCATCTTTCTTTGTGCAGAGAGAATAATGCATTCAATATTAAAATATCCTATATTTTTATACGGTCCTATTTCTGAACAATATAAAGGAAGTAAAAATAAATTTTTTTATTAGTGATATATGACTTTTACTAAACAACCCATCAAGTAATCCTTATACGTAGTTCAGATTAGATATATATTATTTCAGTTTATAAAAGCAGTACATCTGAAAATCAGTAAATATACAAATCTAAGTGTTAAATTGCAAACGTTAAATAAAAAAATAATGATAATCAGCAAAGTATTTTCTAATTAAGTTTTATTATTATTATTATATCATTTTTACAATAGAGACCTTCTTAAACGACCTTCCTATAGAATAAAAGAAATTACATTTTTGTACGTTTAATTACAAACGACGATTGATTTTCAACTTGAAAATTTTTTTGTTAAAAAAATTGACTTTACCAGTATTTTTTATTTCCTAAGCCAATTATTTTTTAACATGTTATATTATTCTCTGATTATCCAACTTTAATAAAAGACCAACTATGGCGAAATTAAGCCTAATGCTGATTCTCAGTGACCAAAAAACTAACTAAAGTCAAAGTCGTCAATCGGCCATGTTTGGACAGTGGTTCACTTTTTTTTGTGTGGGAACATTGGCTTTTTTTTAATAAATAGTTAAAAGGAACACAACGATATGCAATTTATAGGATTGGGGAGGGGGGGGGGTACGATAGGGGGGTCTGGCCCACTGTGTAGCTGATGGAAAATAAAATTAAGACATAATAAATGCTTATCATAAATAGAAACAAGATTTGTTTGAATTGCTACTTAACAATTAAGTAGTAAGTAATGCAGATATAAAAGCTAACAAACCTCAAAAAATTATATGTTAATTTGCATCAGAGCATTGCTTTCTCTCTTCTTCTACTTTCTGCCTCGTCCTGTTAAATGCTTCTGTTTTAACGAAATCAACTTCCTTGTAAACAGTACTCCTAGCGATTTCTGCAGATGATGGATTCCCACTATCGCTTGAATCAAGATCGAGATCAAGGTATTGAATCTCAATATGTTTGGTGCTATTTCTTGAATGGAAGCCAGAAAATGGAAATCTACCACTATCTTGGCTGCATATCTGTAAAGTAATATAAAACCATACGATAGAAATAAATAATTAATGTGAAATTGTAATGATCAACAAAAATTGGTTTTCAATAAATAACAAAAGTTTTACTGTATAAAAAAGTAAACTTAAAAAAAAAAAGAGGAAGTAAAAGTAATTGAGTGTGTAGCTTGAAAAGGGTTGAGAATTCGGGGAAAACCTATAGAATAAAAGTTTTAGGTGATTTTATAAAATTTCATTTATGATGAGACGATTTTCCCCTGTGTTGCATCGTTTTTGAGATATAAGCGGAAACATGAAAATTGTGACCTTTCCTCTCCCCCCCAGCTCACCACCAAGACTTTTGATATATTCACAATCTGAACAAGTTTCTGAAGGAATTGCTTAGGTCCCTACTCACACACTTTACACCTCAATTATTGACTGGACTGCAAGCAACTTCTTCTAAAATAAAACTTAACAAGTTTAGAGAAGGATTTGTCAAAGCGTTGATTGGAGAAGAGATTGAACTAGTTAACAAACCAAAAAAAAAAAAAATAAAAATAACAGAATAGTAAAAACTTCATTTATATATAGAGTATTCCATCTGCTAAAAAAAAACTGTCCAACAAAACCATGCTGGTTTTGGTACCAAAGCTAAAAAATGGCACAAGACACATTATTTCTGTTTAATCTGCCAAGAGAAGATTTTATGGAAAATTGTTTTAAAAATTATCACAAAACATAAAAATTTATTTCCTTGCATAAACTTTTTCTTTTTGAATAAAGTTTGTATAACAGTATTTTCTGTTCATTTAAGCCAAACCTGATTTTTTATTCTCTTTCATATTTACACTGTTATGCTTTGAGTAGCCTCCTAGCTATACAAAAATGTCAAGTGATGAAGGGACAAGATAACTCACAGTAGGTGCCCTGGGACAGCAAACAACCTATGAGACATCTTGTAGTTGTGAGCCATTGTGTCAAAAGAAATAAAACAGATTTACCAACATAAATTTACATAATCTAAACATAACAAAATATAAAGAAAAATACCTCATCAAACTCACTGCATCTAGATTCAAGGTCTTGGGTTTCGGTATGTGTTTTAGAAATAGGAGAATGACGCTCAAGGTAATGAGTGACAAGTTCAGATCTCCCTACAGGAGGTGGTCCAAGTTTAATTGGAGCATCTATAATAAAAAAAAATAAGAAAACCTAGTATAAATTTAATTTTAAAAACTTTAGGTAAGTTTGGAACCTAAATTATATGGTAATAATATCAATCATTAGTCAAAATGGAGTTCATTATTTTAAAGTTTGACAAAGCTAAAAGCTGTGCAAATAATAATCACATTTTTTTCCATAAAAGATAAATAAAAAATAAATAGTTACTTTCATCTTTAGGCCTAGATACTGGAGGAGTTGGTTTAAGGTTCCTTAGGTGGGTAAGATCAACATTTGGTTGATGCGGAGATGGTTCATTAGAAACTGAATCAGAGGCTTTCCTTCCTGGCTTCAACTCTCTGTAAACTATGGGAGGATTACTAGCACTTAGTGGGCTAGATACGTTTGAGTAATGTACACTTGAAGCATCAGAGTGAGGGGAGTTAGGCTCATCACCAGATAACGAAACTGCAAAATCATAACGGAAGAAAAGGTCAGTAGATGGAGCAGCATTTGAATAACAATGTCTTCTAGGAGCTGGAATAGGATCAGATTCTGTTTCTCCATTAATTTGATGGGATCTAGGAAAATCATACATGTCATTTACAACATTTTCGGTTCTTTGAAAATCTTTAGGGCTTGAATTCTCTATATTAAGATAAGTATGACTTTCAGCTACATCAGTTCCAGGACTCTGAAGAGGTGGTGTAGTAGAATCAGAAGCCCTCAACTCCAAATCACTGGGAGGATGAAGAGGTCTAGGTGAATCATAAAATTCTTCAGAATGTAAGTTGGAACTCAGTGGTTTGCCGGTAATACATTCACTGATGGGTATATATGGACCAGAGGCTGTACTTGATGGAGAAACTGGGGGAGATTCCGCTTGCTGACTTGAAACTTCCACTAATGATGATGAATCGTCTTGCACAAATGGAAAGACTGAAAAGAAAAAAGAAATTTTTCCTAATCAACAATTCAAGATAAATTAATATAAAAATAATGACAAAAAAAATAACTGGAAGATTAAAGCCTATTTTAAAAATTAAACTGAGGATAACTTGCCAGTTTATTAAAAGTGACATAATTAACCCTCCAAAGCCTAATGTGACATTAGAGTTACATGAAAACGCAACTAGTCTTTCCATCCCTCCTTCTTTTTTATTATGGTTGAGGGTGAAATATCGTTAGAGTAAATGCACCAATAGCTGACACGCTTAAGGAAATTTCTTTGAACCATTATGTGTAAAAACTTAAATATAGATGTTGATATATTTTTTATTTATTTATCTTATAGAACTATTTCTCACCAAGACATATTTCAAATCCATGTAACATTCATCTAAATTTAAAAAAATATATAAATTTAAAGAACAGTTTTGTTGCACCAGTAGCTGATATTATTTGATTTGGAATTTTCCTATAGCTGACAGAAATGAGAACAGGAATGTAATTATGAAAAATAAAGTGTTGAAATTTTATTTCTTCATTTTAAATTACATATTAACAAAAACTTCTTTAACTTATAAAACCAACTTAATTTGTTTCCTGTCTTAAATATATGCTGGTCACTGTCAAGAACCTGTTTTTGGCAATAGGAAAATCTATTTTTGCTTTACATTTAACCTAAATCATTAGCATTTTTTTTAACGAGAGTGTAATAATTAGTCCCATTTTTAAGACTTAAGACTTCCCCAATAATGTGAGGCGAAAAAAAATAAAATCATTAAGAAAATTCGACAAGCTAGGCTAGGGCCTAGTATACCTACTTCTAGTGAACCTATTTCTACTTCTAAAATGAAATAATTTTATTGATACCTAAATATTACTTTTATTTAAACTGTCATTTTTATTCAAAGATAGTAATAGATCTCTAGAGCTATCATAAACTTCATATAAACAATAGTTCGATTTTCGGCAGAATAGTAGACAATTTAAGTTTTTTTTTTTTAAGTATCATGGTTTTTGATGATTAGGAAGCGAAAAACTAAGCTGTGTGGTGATATAAAAAAAAAAATCATGATTTTTTATTTTTCACCATCCAACTAAATAAATATAAATATATTTATAAGTGACTAATTAAACGTTTCCAATCCCAATATCTACATGTAAAATAAAGAAGCTTGCTGATTGCTTGAATTATTTTCAAGAAATCGTAAGTATTAGGATTGAAAACATTTAATTGATCACTTATAAATAGGAATAATTTCTATAATACAGAGCTTAATAAAAAACAAAGTTCATAATAATTTTTAATAATAAATATTTGAAAATCATTTATTTTTTTTGTAATAAATAAAAAGTGTATTTATGAATTTGTTTATATAATAAGTACATCCCAGGTAAAGTGAAAATAAATTAACATGTTGCAATAATTTATTGTGGTCATTTTTGCTGAAAATATCATTTTTTTATTTCGTAATAACCCCTCAACTTAATTAATAGGGACATAAAACTTACAAAATAAGAAAGTTTACCTAAAAGTGGAGTGTCTGTAGTATCGTTCGAGAGTGAAAAATAAAAATCGTAAGTAATTCATGATTTTTTAAAACAGAACTTAGCTTAGTGTAACCGCTCAAAAATCCTCTTTAAATGGTTTTAACAATGACGAACTCCACTTTCGTTTGAAGTAATTTTTGTCAAGTTTACAGTGAATCAATTTTTAATTAGTTATATTAAATTATGTTTTAGTTATTTCTTCCTATTCATCAAAGACACTTAAAAAAACACAAAACTTAAATTTCTTACACTACTTTGTCGGAAATCGGAAGATTGCTTATATGAACTTTTTTAATAGCTCTTGAGACTAATATTACTTGTATAAATTAATAAAATTAATGATGTAGAGATGGTTGACCGTTGATATGATATGAGAAGGAGTTAGTCGAGGGTGCGGTCAAATAAAATTAAAATATATAAATAATTTTAATTTTTGCCGACGTTTCGACCCACTTTGCAGGTCGTCTTCAGGGCGTAGGATGTGGCACTGCGGGAGACAGTTGAAACACTGCCTCATTCCAGTGTTTCAACTGCCTCCCGCAGTGCCACATCCTACGCCCTGAAGACGACCTGCAAAGTGGGTCGAAACATCGGCAAAAATTAAAATTATTTATATATTTTAATTTTATTTGACCGCACCCTCGACTAACTCCTTCTCATAATAAAATTAATAATTTCAAAAAAATAACATTATCTACTTGTATAAATATTTCCCTCTACTTACAGGATAGCCTGCATATCAACATACCCGAGGATATTATGATTCAATCACCTCTCAATTTTCATGTGATATTATTCACATTTTCCGCGACTTACTAGTTGAACTGTAAAAAACGTATTTTTATTTGAGATTGGACACACTAAGGAATAAAAATATTTTTTACATCATTCATTTTTAGTTGAAAAATATTATAAATGTACCAATGTTATGGAGGCTTTTTCTCCACCCCCCCCCCTGTGTTTAATCTAAACAAATACATTATATATTCAATTGTATATTTTTAAAAGATATTTTGAAGTATATATAATAAATAAAACCAAATAAAAATCCATATAACTAAACCAAAAAGTGTAAATATTCAATATTATATTTGTTCATTTTACAATAATAAAAACTCCCAGCATTTTTTTTCTTCTTTTTATTCCATCGCTCCCCCAATCAAAATCAAAAGTCTGCGCCTATGGGTAAAACAATATATAATTGCTTGTTTATATTATGAAAAATTTAGAGAATTATTTTATAAAACATACTCATTATATATCATAAACATAAACATATATCATTTCCAAGTCAATTTCAACCTTTTCCAAGTCAAATTCAACCTTTTCCAAATCAAATTAAACTTTTTCCAAGTCAAATTCAACCTTTCCCATTTCAAATTAAACTTTTTACATTTCAAATTCAACCTTTTTTTATTTATTTATCTTTAATTTTTCGATGTGTGGGTCTGTTATCGTATGAGTGGTTTTTGAAAATAACCTCCTTTTTAAGATTACGTGACTGAGTTTCGAATTATTTAAGTTTTTTTGAATTATTCGATATAAGGGTGTATTTTTATGTTTCCCGATCAGTAAATTTTGAAAATGACATCCATTTTATGTTTACGCCACTGTGTTTTGATTTATTTAAGTTTTTAGAATTTATCCAATATAAAGGTCTACTTTTATGTTTCTGGAGCCGTAGATTTTGAAAACGACCTCCATTTTAAGATTAGGCCACCGCGTTTCGACTTATTTGAGTTTTTCGATATTTTTCATATGAGGGTGTATTTTTATGTTTCCGGAGCTGTAGATTTTGAAAATGACCTCCATTTTAAGATTACGCCACTGCGTTTCGACTTATTTAAGTTTTTTCGATTTATTCGATATTAAGGGTGTATTTTTATGTTTCCTGAGCCGTAGATTTTGAAAATGACCTCCATTTCATGATTACGCCATTGCGTTTTGACTTATTTAAGTTTTTCGAATTTATCCAATTTAAAGGTCTACTTTTATGTTTTCGGAACCGTAGATTCTGAAAATGACCTCTATTTTATGATTACGCCACTGCGTTTCAACTTATTTAAGTTTTTAGAATTTAACAAGTATAAAGGTCTAATTTTATGTTTCTGGAGCAGTAGATTTCCCCCATTTTGTAAATGACCCAATTTCAAGTTTATGCCACTGTGTTTTGGATTATAAAAGTTTTTTTTTTTTACTTTTTCGGTATAAGGATCTACTTATATGTTATCCGAGACGTATTGAAATTTTTCTAATCTTTAATATTTAAATTTATCTAATATTTAAGCTCCATTTTATGATTAAGCCGCTGCATCTCGAATAATTAGGCTTCATTTTGGATTTTTTCAATACAAAGTTTAATCAATATGTTTTCGAGTATGAATAAATAAATAAATATTATGAATCTAAAGTTAAATTAACCACAGAATACAAATTAAAAAGCCGAAAAGCAGCTGGTAATAAATTTAACCTTCCGTATTCAGATTTTTCAGCTAATTGTTCGAAATCTTATAATTTTGTGACAGGAGACCACAACATTAAAAAAGATAACTAAAATTAAATTAAAAATGAGACAATACATATTTTATTTATTTTGATTAGATATTTTTATTTATTTATTGAAAAATAAATTAATCCTTCGTATTTTGTTTTTTATTCGAAGGAAAAATCAAAAACACTTAAAAAAACCGAAACACAGTGGCCTAATCTTAAAATGTAAGTCGTTTTAAAAACTAAGGCTCCGGCATCATAAAAGTAGACCTTTAAATTGGATAAATTCGAAAAACTTGAATAAGCCGAAACGCAGTGGCGTAATCTTAAAATGGAGGTCATTTTCAAAATCTACGACTCCGGAAACATAAGAATACACTCTTTTATGATAAAAATTCGAAACACTTAAAGAAATCGAAACGCGGTGGCCTAATCTTAAAATGGAGGTCGTTTTCAAAATCTACGGCTCCGGAAACATAAGAATACATCCTCATATGAAAAAAATCTGAAAAACTCAAAGAAATCGAAACGCGGTGGCCTAATCTTAAAATGGAGGTCGTTTTCAAAATCTACAGCTCCAGAAACATAAAAGTAGACCTTTATATTGGATAAATTCTAAAAACTTAAATAAGTCAAAACACAGTGGCGTAATCTTAAAATGGAGGTCATTTTCAAAATTTACTGATCGGGAAACATAAAAATACACCCTTATATCGAATAAGTCAAAAAAACTTAAATGATTCGAAACGCAGTCACTTAATCTTAAAATGGGGGTTATTTTCAAAACTAGGTACAGGACAGCATAATACTAGTCCCTAATAAATCCGAATAGGTACAATAAATCGATATCCGTAAGTGAAAATTCTACTTAGGAGAGCATAATAATAGACTTTCATATTGGAGGGGGGGAGGGGATGGCCATTATTTTAAAAAAAATATAAGATTTACAAAAA